GCTATATAGGCAATTAAAGGCTCATTATAATGATTTAAATGGCTTATTATTAAAAGTGTGATTAGTCGACTAATGCTTAAAACGACTACTAGTCAAAAAATCCTTAGTCGAGGGCAGCCCTAATGTAAAGTTTAAGATTTTATGTGTAAAGATTAAAATAACACTTCATCGTATTCATATTTCATATCTGGTATTTATCTGTTTTTTTATTTTACAGATTTACCCAGATCTACACTGATTGTGACACCAAAGAGTGTATTCACAGGACAGACAGTCAATCTGACCTGTGTGATTGAGACTTACAGTAGCTGGAGATATGAGTGGTATAAAGGCACAGACAAAAGTGTAATGTTACAGACGTCTGATCGTTACACTGTAAACAGAGACACTTTCACTATCAGAGGAGCGAATGAGTCTGATCAGGATCAGTACACGTGTAGAGGACTGAGAGAAGAGAGACCAAAATCATCACAGGAGAGTAACCGGATAAATCTGTCTGTTAATGGTTAGTTAATACTTTGAGAAATACTTGCCTGTTGTTTAAAATGACAATATACTCTTAATAATAAACTTTTTGAAAGCCTTCAGGAGATCTGCAGTGATGCTCAATAAGTGCTTGTTTCTCTGTTTTTTTTTTGAGTGTCACGTTCAGGTCAGATTTCTGTCTTCAACATCCTCAGTTTTCTTCTGGCAGCTTGTCCGTATCTGCTGGCGACAGTCGTGCTGCTGTTCAAATGCTACAGAGCGAGAGGTAAAACTTCTGTCTTTTCTGTTCACATTCACTGACAGACAGGCCTTTACTCTTTCTCTTTTGATATGTTATAAATCAATATTTACAACAGATGGTGGTCATTCATAAGCAGCATCTGCAGTGGAAGCAAAACAGAAAGTGTCAAACTGAATTGTGAAAGTGAATGATGTGTGTGTGTGTGTGTGTGTGTGTGTGTGTGTGTGTGTCAGTTACATCTACTGAAGACCAAAGCCAGTATGCCGTAACAGAGGAACAAACTTCAACCTGATTTCATCAATTCTTCAAACCGCATGTATAGAGTCACAGGATGCTGGAGCCTCAGACTGAAGGCTGGGAAACTCGCAAGACTAACAGACACACAACATACACACTCTCACACATACGGACAATTTAGTGTTTCTAATTCTCCTGGGGCCTCATGTATAAAACTTTATGTAGATTTCATCCTAAATGTGTGCGTACTCACAAAAGCTAGATTTTGCGTACGTACAAATGTTTTCAGATTTATAAAGCCATGCGTACGCCAGAACCTGTGAAATATTCCCTTTGTAATACCCAGTCAGCGGAAGATTGTGCGTACATGAACCTCCACCCCGTCTCCTCCCCGAAATAGCCATATATGGAGCTTACAACGCCTAGATTTAATATTCATAATGTCATCTGCATATCATTTCCATGCATATTTCATCCACGTGACACCATGTTTAACGCAGTTAAGGGCACAATATGTCAGGAAAATATGAGATACATACTATAAATGCTTCTGGAGTAGCATATTGCTATTCAAATGTATGCAATTTTGCCTATAAAGTAAACATATATTTTAGAATGTTTATAGCCTATATTTTAATGGAAAGAGATGGGCCTTTTTTTTTTGCAGTGCAAATAACTGCCTGACTCACCGAGTCAATAAAATAATTGGAAAATAAAACGTGCATATCTTACAGTTTCCTTCAAATTCTATCTTTTAAATATGGTGTTTGTCACAATATTGGGAAGAGCAGGAAAGGGGTTATCATTAGGCTGCTGTCTGTGCGCGACACAGCTGTGAACAGAGGTTCTAGAGTACTGTCATCAAACCTGTTCAAACCAGCCAATGGACCGTTTGATCAACGAGTTCATCCTTATGTCTGTCGTTACCGTCTATGCTCCAAAGCCATCAGACGAATCAAGTTCACATCAGTGATTATTATTCATTATTATAAATATCATTATTATCATTAATATCATTATTATAAAAGTATTCTCTCAGAACATGAGTTTTGCTATTTAGAACACAATTTAAAGTGGAATTGTCATGCGGCAAGCAATCCTCGCTGTGATTAAAACATTAAATCACATACCACAGGACAATTGTTCGAAAGCAGCACATCCACTGAAAATATTTCTAAAAATGTTGTAATTTCTGGATAATAATTTCATGAAATTTCAGTGCTTAACTTCATTATTGAGAGTGTCATATTTAATCTAATTGTGTATGTCAAATGTAAAACCTTTGTTTCATTATTTCGCTCACTCCAGTAAAAGAGTGCGTACGCATGGTCTAGTGTCCGTACAAAACTGTTAAATAAAAATAAATACATTTTACTGCAGTTTATAAGTTCTTATACAGGCCCATGGATTAGAAATGTTCAAACTAATGGCATTTCAGCCCAGATATATTTTTATTCAGTTTTAACCTGATTGTCAATAAAAGCTGAGACAGAGACATCAATAATCTAAAATGTAAAAAAGCTCTTTGGTGTTGCACTGTACACATACTATAAAATTCATACTTTCATATGTGCTTATATGGGCTCCTTACATCATTTGCTTCCTTGCTGTCCTTTTGGACTTTCTAAGTGTCCTTTTTTTGGAAAGTCATCTAAATTTATCTTGAAAAAAGCTTGCAGAAAATACAGATTTTTGAGAATCACCCTTCAATCTTTTGGTTTACTTTGCTGGACATAGCAAATGAGGACAAAATAAACATTTGAAACAAGATAAATGGTCTACGCTTATTGAAGTGTGCGATTAATCACGATTAAATCACAGAAAAAGGATGCGATTGATAAATTAATCGATTGACAGCCCTATTTGCAACTTAATCCAAAATAAAAAAAACTGCTAAACTAAGACAATGAAACGTTTAAATGAGGACAAAATAAACATTTGAAACAAGATAAATGGTCTACGCTTATTGAAGTGTGCGATTAATCACGATTAAATCACAGAAAAAGGATGCGATTGATAAATTAATCGATTGACAGCCCTATTTGACTTAAACGAAAATAAAAAAAAAAACTGCTAAACTAAGACAATGAAACGTTTATCGGTTTCCCTTAGCAGTCAATTACACAAGTGTTATAACATGTTCACAGCAAAGAAGAAAAAAAGCACTGTAAATCACACAATGCTATTTTAAGCAATCACTACGAAGACTAACAAGGAGAGCGCTTTTAATTTAGCCAGAGATTATATAACATAATATCAAGCTCTTTTAAAGACAGTATGAGTGGCTCTGTGTGCTGCTCAGATCAGACGAGCTGTACTTGGAGCTGCTGTATTTGGGGACGGCTCGGTGCCTCAGACACGGGTGTTTGGTCAGTTCTCCGGCAGCAGCAGACGCACGGCGGTCTGGATCTCTCTCGAGCTGATGCTGGAGCGCTTGTTGTAGTGAGCGACACGAGACGACTCACCGGCGATGCGCTCGAAGATGTCGCTGACGAAAGAGTTGATGATGCCCGTCGCCTCGGAGGAGACCCCGGTGTCAGGATGCACCTGCTTCAGCACTTTATACACGCAGCTAGCGTAGCTCTCCTTCCTGGAGCTCCTGCGCTTCTTCCCCGCTTCACCCGCGCTCTTAGTGAATTTTTTATAAAATATATTAAATAACATTACTATTCGGAAACGTGTTCTAAGTCGTGTGTGGCTCTTAAAAGAGCCGCTGGGGTTTAGTTTTGTTCAGGAACCTCTAGGGCTGAACAATTTTGGAAAATAATCTAATTGCGATTTTTTTTTACCAATATTTTTTACCTATATATATTTGCGATTTAATATGCGATTATTTTTTAAAGCTCTTTATGTTCTGTATTATTCAACAAAGACAAGCTATAAATCATTGTATAGTATGACTAACACACTATTATAGATAGATTAAACATAAATGTTATTTTCTGTAGGCCAGGCCTATATGTAAACATGTGCACTGCACTAAACACTGTCTGTTAACTTTAGACCAGTGCTTCTCAAATTTTTGTGGTCGCACCCCCCTTTAAACCTATAAAAAAATCTGCCCCACTTTCCCGAATCCTCATCCCACCTCAGACTACCAAATAATTGAATTAAACATTGTGAAAAATCAATGCTTTTTTAATAAAAAAAAAACCTACAGGGAAAACAAAACACCTGCATCACTTGAAACATTGAAAAATAGCATAGAGAGAATCACAAAGTTCAAATGATTTGCGACGCACAACTTTAGCTTCCGGTTCATAGACTGTATAGACACGGTGAGTGAAGCCGAGAGCAAGATATGCCTCCTCATATTTTCTGCATTTAGCTTTTAAATGACCAGCACCTGCCTGAGTCTGTGCGACTTCATCTATGGCTTTTCTCTTCGCTTTCACAAACCAATCCATCTCCCATTCTAAGCTACGTCCTTTGGCTGTTTACTGTTTTATTTATTTTCTTTTTCTGCTGATGGCCCGCGCTCAACTTGAAGCAGCGCTGCTTAGACCGATCGGTGTGTCATCAAAGTACTGCGAGAGCTATAAGAGAGCGCGGACGTCTCCTTATGCTTTCTCTCGCCGTACTTTGATGTCATACACCGATCGATCTTCAAGTGGAGCACACCACTTTACTCTTGCGTGAAAAATTTTTGCATTTCGCTGCGTTCCAAAGTTCAAGTTTGGTGAACTCTGACCTGCGAATTCGCATCACGTGAAGACGTGTGACCAGTAGAAGATCGATACGTCACTGCGTGACCTCTCTGTACAGAAATTCAAAAATGGAGGAAGCGCTAATTTTAGCCATAGTGCAGCGTCCTATTTTATATCATACTTCTTTAAAAGATTATACAAATCAGACGGTACATTTGAATGCGGACATATTTTATAATTTTATTATTGCTTAGTATATATATATATATACATATATAGAGAGAGAGAGAGAACAATATTATTACCATACTCAAGTGTATTATTATTAAATTACTTAATGTTGTTCGTTATTTTAACGCAAGCTCATGCGAAAAATTTCGCATTTCGCTGCGTTCCAAAGTTCAAGTTTGGTGAACTCTGACCTGCGAATTCGCATCACGTGAAGACGTGTGACCAGTAGAAGATCGATACGTCACTGCGTGACCTCTCTGTACAGAAATTCAAAAATGGAGGAAGCGCTAATTTTAGCCATAGTGCAGCGTCCTATTTTATATCATACTTCTTTAAAAGATTATACAAATCAGACGGTACATTTGAATGCGGACATATTTTATAATTTTATTATTGCTTAGTATATATATATATATACATATATAGAGAGAGAGAGAGAACAATATTATTACCATACTCAAGTGTATTATTATTAAATTACTTAATGTTGTTCGTTATTTTATATATTTATATTTTCAGACTCATTTTAAAATTAATTTTGAACCACACCACAGGAACTTATAAAATGACCTATTTAAAGGTAAAAACCTACAGCACTTAATTTAATATATATGATATGTATGTATGTATGTACAGTCAAACCAAAATTTATTCAGACACCTTGAACATTTCATTCATTAATACAGTTTATTCACTATAGTTTAAAAAAGGGTAATAAAATATGACAGAGCCGAAAGTACTCCTTGTGGCGATCCTCATCCAGCCGTAGCTCCTGAATTAAAGAATGGAACTCTCCCCGCTCATTCCCAGTCCGTATAATAGGGTGAACCCACAGCCTTCTCCTTTCCAGACGCTTTCGACGCCGTCGCAAAAGATACAGTACAAGCACATCTGAATCCATGTTGTGGTAACTGAGGGAAAACCTATATCTTCAATAAAAAAATAAAATAAAATAAAAAACTGCGGGGAAACCTTGTCGCGTGATGTCATATCCTGCTCCCGCCCATATTCGTAGCGACATCCGAAATTTTTTTGCATGTTTAAAGTCTAGTGTGACCACCCCTTCAGCCTCCGAATCCGTAGAGTGCGTCCCTGTCGCTTCAGCGCATACACCACATCAGGGCGGTGACAGTCTTTCTTTTAGCTGCTCCGTGTAGGTCACAGCATCACGAATCCCGCTCTCCAGAAACACCTTCAGCACGCCGCGCGTCTCCTCATGGATCAGACCAGAAACACGCTTGACGCCGCCGCGGTGCGCCAGACGACGA